GCTGTCCAATTCATAACCCACCAGGGTGCCACCACCAAGCTCACTGCCCATGGAGTAGATTCAAAGTCATGGCAAGCCTATAGGGCAGGGTAAAACTTCCCCCGTTCGGTTTTTCCAAGAATGTAACCCTTTACAAGGATACAAAGCCTCCTCTTACGACTGAAGATCTGCTGGTGGTTTGAAGTGCTGACCTTGCAGTTAGCAGCCCAACATGGAACCCCGCACCCCCAGGGCGCCTTTCCTTCCACCCAGGATCTCCAACTGAAGCCTTCAGAGGGGACATTGTGGAGGTTTTGATGGCCTGCATGTCTTTGGGAGGAAGGTCTATATTTCTCTTCCATGGGTCCTGGGTACAGTTTAGCAGTCAGCACACTCACCTCACTTCGGCTAGGCAGTTCTCCCAGGAGCCTGAGCTCCATGGAAAGCACAGCCGCTCTGCTCCCAGTCGATTTGAGCATCACCCACACGTGTCTTCAAGGCAGCCTTTCCCCCAGGGAGATTGTCAAGAGATGAGTGCTCATCTATAAACACATGTTGTCCCACCTCACTTCTTTACTAGCTCCCACCCTTTATTATGTCTTCTCAAATGCAGAAAGAGATGGACTGCATTCTGCCAAAGGACATGGACCCACCAGACTCAGGGCAGAATTTAGAACAATGAAGGCGATGGTTCTCAGCTCTTTAGACTATCAAACAAACCACGTCTTCGCTAAAAAGACTTACAGTGTGATTCTTTGAAGGGTGAGTTCCCTTAGGGTCTCATTAGAATGTCTTCAAAAAGTATCCAATCAAGACAACGGCTTCTGAGGGAATCTGATCGACCAGTTCGATTCGAGACAGAGAGGTCCCTTCAGAAGGGTTAGGGTGGGTGACTGTTTTATTTGGGGTTCCAAAGAGGTCATCTTGGTAGAGTTTCTCAAAAGGCACAGGACAATCATGGGGAACTTATTTAGGAAGAATTTTTAAGAAGAGTTAAAATTGCATCGATAGGAAAAAGGCCAGGAAAGTTGTGCCAAAGAATTTTTCCCCATCATGACAATGCTCCTGCTCCTTCTTTAAGGGCCATCGGACTGTCCTTCAGTAATTCCCTGGAGAAACTTCACCCTATCCACCCAACAGCCTATCCACCCAACAGCCCTGGTCTCTCCCCTTCAGACTTCTTCTTGTTCCCAAAGTTTAAAGAACAGTGAAAAGGAACATCCTACGGGGCTCTTAAGGATAATCAAACTAGCAGAGAATGGAGAATCCTTGGGGAGGAGGGTAGAGAGAGGGAACGACCACCTTCAGAAGAGTATAGACCCAGAGGAAGAGACGATGAGGCAATAGCTTCACATCTTAATATTTTTGTTTAATTAAAGTGGGTAGCACTTTTCCCACTCCGCCTCCTATAACCCAAAGTGTAATCTTTGCTGAAAGTGGGACTTTGAGGAGTGATTCCTTGTTGCTCCTCTTTGCACTTGTGTATTTCCAAGTTTTCTTCCAATGGCTGCATGCTGCTTGTGTAATTAGAAAGAAGATGTTTTAGACAGCCATTTCCCAGCCATCGGCAATATCACGGCAAGGTGTGGCACCCACACCCTAAGCAGGGTGTGGTTTGAAATGACACCTATTTTTGGATGACACCGAGACACCTGAGTCACCCGTCATATTTAGGAAACAAGTGAAACAAAAACCCCGTAAGGAACAGGTGGAGATGGGAGGCAGATTTCTGTCTTGAACTGACTGAACATTTTGTGGGTCAAGCGCAGATGGAACTTCCCAGAGCTCTGGAGAGGATGAATTTAGCACTGAGCTGAAGCTCTGGGCAAACTGTGTGAGTCATCCCGTAGAGAATAACTCGTGCTTCCTGGGACTTTGTGTATTAAAACACACGCTGTACATTCCCTGGGCTTCTTGTTTCCAAGCGGCTCAAGAATCGCATCCACTTCCCAAACGCACAACCAGTGCTGGCCATTGACTGGTTACTGTGCCCTTTTAGAAACCAGAGTCACCTGTCCTCAGGGAACCACTATGCCCCTCGTTCTCACCCTCCTGTGTAGTCAGAGGCTGGGATGAGTGGGTGGCTGTCATGATGACAGCATTTGGGAGAACTTGGCAGGGGAAGGAGGTAGAGGGATACAGCTGTTCAGCCCCGAGGGCAAAGCTCAATCGATTAACCTGTGTTCTGCACCGCACTTGGAGTGCGTTGATTCAGATGTTGGGGAGAAGGACCCATCGCGATGGAGTTTTATTTCCATCATGGATCTTGTGTAATGCCTTGGGGGAAGATTGTTTAACCTCCTAAAACCTTGGCTCCTCATCTGTGGAATGGGCACAAAACAGACTTCCTCTTAGATTTCTTATGTAGCTATGAAAACGACCCCAGGTAGGGAGCAGCCGGGCATATTGCAGGTACTTGGTATGCCTTTCTCTTTGACTGGTTTCTAGGTTTGTTCCTGGCAATTGGCAAGGCCAGGCATCAACAATCGTTTTTCTATTAAGGGACAAATAGAAAATAGTTTGGGTTGTGTGGACCAAGGAGAAAAATTGAGAAAATAGTAGATATACTCATGTAAGAAATGAGAAAACAAACTTCTACAGTTTTAGTGATGAGACCCCAAATATATCAATAATAGAGTCCAGGATTCTGTTCTATAAGTCTACAGGTGAAAAGAAAAAGTTTCTTTTTTGGGGGGTGGTGGCGGGCTGGGTAGTATTTCACTGAATTGGGATTTCAAGTGAATATTCCCATAATCAAATTGAGGCATACCTGGAGGTGGTGGTACAAATGTTTAACACGTTCAGTAGCTGACTGTAAGCTTTCAGGGCCTGAGTCCACCCAGAGCCACCTTGGAAAAGTGGCTGTGCTCCTACTTCTGACAACCAGGCACTGAAACTCTGGGATGACAGCTCCCCATGGACACACGTGGGATGGGCATGAGTCAATCGAATGGGAACTTTCTTTATCATTACGAACTGTTCCCAGCTTCCCGGTCATGCAGAAAGAGGTAGCCAGCTGAATCTGACGTGCCGGTCATAGATTGGCAATCCGTGGTGTAGACCGTTTATTGATGAACAATCTGTGCTTCTGTTGGGACCCTAATTTTTAATAACAAAGAAATGATTTGAAATCACAATGGGTACATACACAACAGTTACCAGCTGGAAAGCGAGAGGCAATAATGAAATCTTTAGGTCAACAGACTCTTGGAAGCTGACAGAATGCTTAGCTTTGTTTGCACCAATTGTTCTCTTAAGAGCATCTTCTTTTGTGCCCGGCAGCAGGAAAACAGTCGGAGGAAATGATCAGGCCACACAACTGGACCACCCACAGAGAGCAACCAAGCAGTGGTCACGTCATGGAAACAGACAGTGGCTCAGATGGTTCTCTCTGATGACCATCAAATAAGAGACGGACAGGCCTGCTTTGAATACAGGATGGCTACAGGAAGGACTATTTAGGCACATACAGTTTCTGAGGGTCCTTTGTGCCGCTTTTCTCCTGACTTGGAGGACCAGTTAGCATCCAAACGCTGAGTCCCCAGGCAGACAGAGTGTGTGCAGTCAGTGCTTGGTGAGCCTGGCTGTGCTGAGTTCACTGCTACCGAGTCCACTCCACCTGCCACTTGTGCGCTTGCAACACCGTATAGGAGATGTATTCACGCCTCTCCGGTGTGTCCTGATGAGTAGGCCTTGGCAAAAATTCAAACGCTCTTGGTTACTAAGCATTAAAGAAGTTGGAAGCAAGAAATAACTCGACGTTCTACCCCACAACCTCGCAACCACTCCCTAGGAATGGGGAGAGGACAAGCATGGCCCGAGCTGTCCTGGGCCCCAGAGCAGAACCTGGATGAGGGTGACAGTGGCCTGGGCACATGGCAACCCAGCTCTGATAGTCGTGAGCTCAAGGCTTTTGTGAAACTGCTACTGTGTTTCGGCAGAGTTTACAGACATGCACAAAGGCCTTTCTCAGGTGAGGGGAGGCCATCTGTGTTTTGTGGTGTTTGAACTTAAATGGAAGGTACCCGAGGGATGGGGATTGTTGGGGGGATGGTTCAACAACTAGGCTAAAGGTTGGTGGCACAAATTCACACAGTGGTGCCATGCAAGATCTTCTTTACGACAATGTAGAGAGGACCGGCAAGAAAACCTTCTGAAGCAGTTCTGCTCTATATTGCAGGGGACCGCCGTGCAAGTGAATCTACCCCCCTGCAACTGGTTTGGGTTTGGTTTGCAACTGGCAAGTGAATCTACCCCCCTGCATGCCAGATGTTGGGTTTGTATGGAAAGCTGACCGATCATCTGGCAACAGGATCACTTGAAGAGAGTATCTGATTTCACTATAGTCCCTCAAAAAGCTCTGATGGGAAGAGGGTCAGAAGGACATCATTGTGTAAATTCTTCACACACAGAGGCACAATTTAGAGGGAAGACTTCAAGCCATGTGAGGAGACCTCTGGACACTTGAACTGCCCACAGAGTGGAGGCGTTTTTGGATAGGTGAGAGAGAGAGAGAGAAGACAGGATCCCTGTGGGGATGTCTGCTATCTGCCATTTGTGTCAGAGAAAGTGATGACCCAACGGCACAGATGATTGAAATTCATTGAAAGCTGGTGGGGGAGTGAGTGGAATCTGTCATGTCGGGGATGACAAGGCCCTTTAGAGCTAGGGTCTGAACATTCAAGAGAGATGAGTTGGAAATGTTCTCCCAACTTCTAGTCTTAACTCATCCTTGGGAAAATAACTCTTGTGAGGCAGAGATATTTTAAAATGTGTGTGTGGGGTGTGTGTGTTTTAGCGGAAACAAACCTTTCAGCCAAAGAGTATTTAGCTAAGAAGACTTTAGGTAGGTTTAATGAGCTTTGGTGGTGGATTTCAAAATACTTCTTTGCTGAATTGCTGCAGTAAATCTTTCCTTCGTATGTGAGTGAAGAGAACACAGGGGAAATGCATTTTGTTTTAGCTTATTTGACAAGTTGGCATAAAAGACAATTCACTTAAGGATAAGAAGAAAATGGAGGTTTATACTTCCAAGCAAAATTTATTAGCTGTCTATTCAAGAAAAAAACACAAAGACCTTTGTTGTAAGAATTCAAAGTCAGTGACCTGAGAGTCAGGTACGAATATATAATTTTTTTTCCTTTTAAAATCAGATACAGAGAGTAGAAACAGTCATTTTCCTTAAATATGACACAGGCAACAGAGATTGAAGTCTTTTCTCAGAATAGGCATCAAAGACAGTTATTCATTGTCAGTGGACGCTGCATGCAGTTGACCTAATTTCAAACCCAAAGCCTTTAAAGTAGAAAGCTGGTTGTGAACGTGACAGCTGGTTGTGAACAATCAAGGCAGGCTGTGCAGAGATGGCTCTTTACTTTCGTCCTTATGAAATCCCCTGTAATCATCTGTGTACATTTCAGTTTCTCTGCCAAGACCTTTCAGCTTCATAAGTGTTTGCATAAATGCTACCAAACTGCACCATGAAAACGTAGAAGGAGAATCTGTTCAAGGTGCTTTCGCTTAGCTGAAGTGAAGGATAAAGACCACACCAGGAAACCTGCTCCCCGCCCCATTTCCTCAAGAACTAACTAGTCTGTACAAAAAGAAAAAGAGAGAGAAAATGTATGTACAAAATCCTAGAGTCTACGTACAGTGTGAAAAGGTCAATCGTTGCCCACAGAAGAAATGCCATAAAAAGTTTTATCTATAAGGTGCTTGAGATCCAAATATGAAGCGTTCTTATGCAAAGTCATAAGAAATACAAAGTGAGTTTTCGGGATATGTGTTGTTCAGGCACCGTTGACCATATTAAATCTTCCAGGTCCCAATATCAGTCTGTAAGTTGCTGCTCTAGGGCATAAAACAAAACCTGAATGATTTAACATCACCTCTAAAAAATGCCTAATTTATTCCTAGGGAATATTTTACAGCACATACCAAGAAAATCAGGCTTGACATGTTCCTGTCCTCACATCGAGCCAGGATTCTGAGTTTCATAGAAGAAAAAAATAATTATCATAGTAAAAATAGCTGTATTGATTATAATCCTTGCTAAAACCTGCCTTAATACTAGTGATGCTTTCAAAGTACTCTATTTCTATAAAATAATGTGGGAGATTCTTTTACATTTCCATACAACGTACAGCATAGCCCATAGATCGCATGATCACATGTGATCTCAAGAGAACACGTGTCCACACAGTGAACTCTAACCTATGAATATTGTTTACGGATACTTTCAAGTGTCCATATTAGAATAATTATTTGCACCTCTCACTAACACTGCTTTTATTTAAATTTTATCAGATAAATAAAATGCTAAGAGCTCATTGTTCATGATGCTGATTATTACATTTTAATATAAAATAGCAATGCAACTTTACACAACTTTTTTTCCTTTTTTTTTTTTTGCAATCTAGTGAAACCTCTTGTATCCTCGTGATTACAACCAAAGGCTCTTATTCAATGACTGTTTGCACTTCTAAAGAGTACAACAACAAAAAAATTGCAGGAAGAGACTCCTATTTGGAAACTCACATTCCGTCAACAACATCACACTCGTCCATAGCAAGGTTCCTACTCTTTAGATTTTCTAGTCAGTGTGCATATTACAACATATGGGTGCAGGCAAACAAGAGCGGAAGAACAGTTGTCATATCGTGTAAACCAGGGCACTAGGCAAACTCGGGAAAAGCAATCCGATCGCCAAGCTAAGAAGGTGGAAATGCGAACCACAGCGTAGGAAAAAGAATCCACAATCTTCTGACCGCCTCAGGGCAGGGCATCTTCCAAAATATCCAAGTCCCAGCAGAGCTTCCTTGAGACGCTATTTTATGGATCGTTTGCCGTAAAAATGTTATTCTTTTCAAGTCCAACAATTTTTCTTTGTAATCCCACATACCAATTTTGAAAAGTTTCTAGCAGAAATCTCAACTTTGACATGGAAGCTCTTCTGCCCCTCTCCCCCAAGGCTGGGCAGCTGCAGTGACTCTGCTGGTGGGTTGGTTTGGCGCCAGGTGGAGATGGTGATGGTGGGTGACTCCTCCTGGGAACCAGAAGGCATGGCAGCGGGCGGCCTGCGGGTGTTTCAGGCCACCTTATGTGGATGTGTTGCTGAAATGCGGCTTAAATAAGGAGGGAGAGGGAGTCACAGCCTCTTGACATAGTTCCCAGGAAAAGTACCGAAGAATTTGGTTCTTCTCGAGGTTCCTGGAAATAGAAGCAATAAGTGAAAGGTGGCAAGCACAGCAAACGAGCAGTCCTACAGGTAGGCTTGGACATTTCCTATCTGCAGGGCTTCTGGAAGAGAGCAAGCCCCCCAGGCACTGGAAAAGGGAAACCAAAAACAGAAAAGAAAAACACCGATTCCCGTTGAGACAAAACAAGCTGGTTTATCTGTCCCCCCTGAAGCACTCACTCCCGGGAGCGGGACGGGATAGACCCCACTGCCATCAGGTGAACCAGGAAAGACACCCAGCGGAGGGGCTGAGTGGGGTCAATCAGCCATCCAGCTGCTGCTAAGTCCAAGCACTAATTTTCTAAAGGGCCCGGCTGGCAATGTGTTAGGATGGGCGAGGAAAGGCCCAGAGCAAGGCTTGGTTCAGCAGGAGGGAAGGGGCTGCCCTCAGGGAGTTACTTGACCCCTTGCTGTCTGCAGGGCTAGAAACGCGCCCAAAGAAAACAATACAGACTCTGGAAGATAATGCAAGTGATGCACTTGGATCCTGGAACTCTCCCAGAGCATTTTTAACAGCTCATGGACGGTCAAAAACACAGATTTTGAACAAATTGTGAAGGCCTTAGAAAAAGAACAAGATGTACCCCTTTGTGGATGGGAGCCCCATCGCCAAGCTTGGTTTCTCATATGGGAGGTAAACCCCCGATGCCATCTTTAAGATGGTCTTTCATTTTGAGGGACAGAATCCCTCTGAAGCTTTTTGTCACCGTTGGTGCCCAACGCTCTTCCTTGGGCTCTCCTGCTCAAACAGTCAATAGGACTGCTGGCGTTTTGTTTCTCATTTAGAGTCGGAAGAGTATACTAGTTTGATGATCATCCCCTTGTCTCCCATCGCTGAGCTGGTAAGCCATTTAATTTGCCTTCTGTATGGAAATGAAAGTGTGTGTGTGTGTGTGTGTGTGTGTGTGTGCGTGAAGTGCTCATGAGGTGTCTGTTCCTGCATTATTCCACCACTAATGGAATCTTCTGACCACTCACCTCTTGTCTTTCTGGGATTATCTTTTAAGTGGAGGAAGGGACTTCACAAATTATAACTAAAGCAAATCACGGGGCTTTCAGGGCACATACATCAGGCTTAGTAAATGAGCGAGTTACTCATTTATTATTGCTCCCTTGGCTATCAAGTCCTAATGGACTGCAACGAGCATTTTCCACTGGGCAGTGTATTGATTGTTTTCATGGAGAAAATGTGTGTGTGTTTCCTTTGAGGATCTCATTCTAGCTAGAGCTGCTTACAGAATTGTCCTTCCCTCCCCTGAATGGAAAATCAAATGAGGGCAACATGGAAGGCACCTGGAGCAGTAACTTGTACACTGCATTCACAGTACAATTGCTGCGGGATCACATAATGCCTATGAGTGTATGACCGATCCAAGGCATGGCGAAAGCAGCAAAAGCTTGGTCCTCCCGTTACATCAGGCAAATGAGCAAACACAGGCAGACTACGAAATACCCACACATGAGAGAGAAATCTCCACCTACCCACAAACCATCCATCATCACACTTTTCCATCACATCAATGACGTCACTCGCTCTGAGCTCCAGCTCATCTTCGTTCCTAGGAGTATAGTTATACAGAGCCTGAAACCTTAAACAGGACAAACGGGTTTGTTTAAAAAACATCTTTACTCCTTTGTTAAACTACAGACGATAGCACGATATGCATTTCATGTTAGCATTTTGAGTCTTATGAACATAAGCAGGCAGTCTAAGTCTTGGGGAGACATATGGCATAAGTAGAAGTATTCAGACTTTCATGGGAATTAGACCGCTCTGATAACTTTTCAAATATTCATGGAAGAGCATGAATTGGATAAACCACTGTAACATTTAAAAGTCAGATCTGCATTTCAGTTGGCTAGTGATATCATATGTATTATACAGACAGCAAACCACAGGACAGAATATCAAAGAGCTGTTTTAATGATTCAGCTACACAAAAATGAGAAGGAAGTCCAGTTTAACTAGCCCTCTTTAGAGGCAAAGCGTTCAGGCTGTCAAGTTGACTTCTCAAGTGATTCCACATGGAAATGTATAAACGATCTCAGATATAAGCCTTAGAGATCATTGCAGGGGAATTGCTGTGACGGGCATGAAAACAAACAAACATCACAGTTACAGTTCACAGATTGCATGAGTGTTTTCTGCAGATGTAGAACTTACATATCTGATGCAAGTCACCTGTATAGTTAACTGGCTCTTAGCTTACTCTGTGCTTACTTATCATTGAATCAATAAAACAGTAGATTGCAGACCAAATTTTTTTTTTAAATGGGTCCTGGAGAAATTATATTTCATGAAAAATTATAAAGAATTTGTTTAACAATATAAAGAATTAGTGATCAAAGATACTTTTCTTTTCCCCACCAGGACCCCTTGGAAATGTATGTTATGATGACACTGATTGGCAATGAATCTAGACACTGAATTTATGATAAGAAAATACTTTGAATTTGAATCAATATTATTAACATGGGTTGGCATTTTCAGAAAGTGAAGAATTCTTATAAAGTTGAAGACACAAAATCTAGTGGCCCAGAAGACCAGGGAATGTTTGATACACGGTTCATCAGAAAACTTACTAATACTGTGAGGAAGATTTTTGAGAACCCTTGAGAGTTTTCAAAATTATCCATGTTTTAAGAAGTTGTTAATATTGTATACTGTTGGGGAATGAGAATGATTTATTTCTCATTACTTTACTCATTTAGAAAGTTACACTTTGGTAGACCAAAACTCTTTCGTGAGCTCAAACATCGTATTGTGAATTACGGGACATGCTCCCTCAGTTCCCACTTTGTCTGTGAGAGCGCTTTTCCAGACCGGGGGACCTAGATAATGCTGGTCTCATGTGGGTCTGGGGAAAAGCTGGTCATGCGAGGTGCCCAGCACCCTCTGCTAGAAAACATTTTCCAAAGCCTGGGATTCCAACATTACAGATTTCTTTAGTATTGTGTCTCCTTTGCGAACGATTTTACCCACGTGGATTCTTTTAAAAATGGGCGTCTGAGGTTTTTCTGATAGCAGGGAGGGTAGAAAAGGTAGCAAGAATTCCTGAACACTGTCAGAAAAGACAGCGAGCTGTGGAGCACAAACCTGACCTGATGTTTAAGCTGATGTTTGCTTAGGGTTGGCCCTGGTTGAAGTAGTAAGACCACTTTGTTGTTAGCCAGGGTCTGGAGGCTGCTCAACTGAACAGATGGTATTCTTTGTATATGCAGGTGGGATGTGAGTTTAACATCAGATGGAAATATCCAGTTAGGGGAATGAACGGCATAGCCAGGGCCCTGTTTTTCCCCCTCCTAATTTCACATGGGAAGGAGACAGTCATTACTGGACGCTAACTCGCCCTGGGAGATACCAAGTCACTGACTGAACTTCTCAGGCATCATCCTCTCCCTGGGCATGTCTCCAACCACTCACGGAGATAGGCCTATCTATTTAAGGTCACAGTCCCCAGCTGCTAGCAGAATCTCAAGGTCCCCTGAGCTGAGAAACCCACAGGGGCACAAACTGCTCTTTCAGTTTGAAATGAGGAGAGCCAGCGTGCTTGCCAAACTTTACTTGCCAGTCTGATTTGAATGAGAACAAAAGATAAATAAAAAGAAATGAGGGAGTCTGACGGACTCCTAGAAAAGTCTTCTGGAAACGCTTCTAGCTCTGTTGGCTTTCAAAGCCAGGGCTGCGTGCAGGCAAGAAGAAATGTGACCGTTGCCCGGAGAGGGCTGTAGGTGAGATGCGATGCTGGTGATGACAGCATGCCTCTGAGAGAGAGCTGTCTTTCAAATAGGAAATCGTCTGAAACCAAACAGCATACTTCCTCGGAACGTGTGTAGAGACACAAAACAGGATGCTCCCACTCCCCACCCCCCCAACTGTTCTTTTTAAGCACACGAGATCAAATGACATCCCATGATGCCACCATGGAGGTTGTAATCAAGTAGAAACTGGATATAGAAGGTTTGGTAACGTCTAAAGTTAAAAGCGGGCTCTGTGGGTCTATAAACGCCCAGAGGACCACGGTTGGGAGTATTAAGTCCGTAACAGAGAGCATTTTTAAATTCACAAGCACCTGACAGACCATGTTGGTGACGCATTAGAACCTAAACAGCCCCGGAATGCATTCATTTAGTTGTAATTCCTCATGGGAGCCTACCATTGATTAAGTTCATAATCAAAACCTTCAGGTGACAAATTATATTTTAAAGTGTTTCAGTTAAGTGAAAATTTAAGTTGTTCTTACCACGACTCATTCCCCTACCATTGATACAGACTCTCTTCTCAGGCTGCACTTGGTGAGAGCCAGTCTCAGGTGAGAAGTGTTTTTTTGGGGGGACAAGCTTTTAGCTGAGAAGGTCTGTGAAGAGTGAGGATGAGAAGGGGGTGGACGGGCAGGAAGGCCCCCACCAGCCAGAGCCCATTGTACGTCTTCAGGTGAGTAAGGAGCTTCGTGGGAGAAAGGGGAGGCTGTCTACTCCTGTCAAGAGCTAGAGTTTCCTAACTCAGAATAGGTAGTGGGCAAATGGGCATTGGTGACCTCTGATTAGCTCTTGAAAGCAGACATGAAGCAGAACCATCATAGAAAACCGAGAACATTTTAAAGGCAATGTGTGACACCTGGAGGTGGATTGAATTTACAAAAGAAAAAAACAAAAACCAAACACAGTGTTTCAAAAACATGTTCACCGTCCTATGCAAAGTAAGCAGCATTTCACAAGACTGCTATTTTCAGAAGAGCATTCTAAGAATGCAGTTTGGGGATTATGTCCCTAATTTAGCACTTTGATTTTTCTTTGGTTCTTCATGACCCCGAATATGTGGAAAAACAACGTCAGAACATTTTGTGGGCATCTTGAAAGCTATGGATACTAAAATGTACATGACCAGTCAAGCAGAGGGGAGCCAGGCTTATAAATCTTAGGAATTACATTAGCCTTGGGAGACTTTCCAAGGCCGCCTCTGTAAAGCTCTGCTTTAGGAAACAAACACTCATGTTAGCATCTGTAAACCAGTGGGGATGATGCCAATTTCTCTTCATCTAGGGACCATGTTACTTTCCTTGAACGACTCCAGCTCTTCCACTTGCAAAGTTCTCCCTGCTTGGGCGCAGGGACCCTCTGCTGGGTGGATCAAGGTTCGTCTTGAAGGTAGAAGATAAGAAGAATACTTACGGTTCCCCCCCACCTTGAATGTTTTCATGAATGAACACAGGACGCGGTGGCTGAAATGAAATGATTTTCAATGTAATCAATGTTTCAACTGGCACTAATTAATAGATAATTGGGATAATGCAGGGTAACTTTTCTTGACACTTAATACTTCCTGTTATAAAAAACCAAGAGGAAGAAAAAACAGAAAGCCCAATAAAAGACTTCTCGGCAGGATTAATAATGAGAGTATTTTGAAGGGCGTTTGAAATAAAAACAACCAAGGTTCAAATGTTTTGAATGCATCTACAACCTAGTCTGCCCAGGCTTTACATAAAAGTTGGGGTTTAGTCCCATTGATTTTTCAAAGGCCAGGAATAAGCAAAGACGGGGATGCCACGCCAATGGATGGGAAGTGTCGGGAAGTGTAGACACCGTCATACAACCTGATTCTCTGGCATTTTGTCACACAGGCAGAGAAGAAATAACATGTAATGGAACAGCCAAGTAACCACATCCATTTTTAAAGATTGCTTCTTCACAAACAACATTCTCATATCCAGCACAGATGGAAATATCAATAGGCAGACATCCCATGCTACATTTGAATTAGCACTCTCCGTTCTCAATGCAGGGGGGGGAGGACGGGGGACACATGCATTTTTAAAATAGGGAAACAGAGAACTTTAAGGAGGCTGCAACGAACAATGTCCAGGGGAACATGTAACATTTTACCTTAGAAGAGAAATATTGGTAGAAATTTCCAGGGCACTGAACTCTCAAAAGAGTTTCCTTTCTTTTTAAACTAAGCATCAAGACCAGTATCTGGAATAGATACTTATAATATTGGAAATGACAAGCCTTAGCATCCCATATATCCACACAAAATTGCAAGGAAGGAAAAGTTAATACACTTGCTGAAAGTGCACTCAGGGTGCTTTATACCAAATGATTGAACTTCTTCTTTTAAAGGGGAAAATTCATTATAATTCACAACACATTTCAAAAGAATTCTCTTCTAAAATAGTAGCTGCCTAGTGAAATAAGCTACATTAGGTTTTGCATGGCAATTATTAAAAGAAACTCTTTGAGGACAAGTCAACTTGCTATTAGATTCATGCCCTTGGACCTGAGGACCAATTTCTGGACTCCCAGTTATGAGTGGATTACTGATCTGCTGCGGGCGGAGGTGTTTCCCTGCAAATTGTGCAGAGACATCCCACCTGCCCAAGCCTGGAGGGGATGTCTGGGATTCTCTCAGCCTGAATCTGTGATGTGCCCCTTCCTAAATTCTTTCTCTCATCCTTCCCACCCAGGCTGTCTGTCTAGCCCAAGAACATGAGGAACTTACATTACTAAAATTTAAACCGTTAGCTTATTAATTGGAAGTACTTAAAAAGCAATAGCTTCAGAAATCTCATCAATAGTATGGCAATAGGATACATAAACTGAAAATATGGCTTTTATGACTTAAGAGCTTGAAATAGGTGGCTCCTATACATCAATATAAAAGTACTACCAATGTATCTAATGTCAAAATGATAAAATATTTCATTTTTAGAATTATTAAGACTGAATTGTTCTCTAGTTACTGTTAAGGACATTTAATTTGATATAATAAGTACATTAAAAATACAAGAAGAGGTAAATTTAAGTTCCTATAAGCTTATATCCTATTACATTTCTTCATGTTCTCTTATTATATGTTTATGATTTTATGCTTAAGATATGTGTATTTTAAAGTAATTTTCCAATCTTGTTTCATTTTTTTATGACTACAGTATAATAATATTCCTTACATATGTATGTTTATCATCATTTTCTTAACAATTTCTCCATCTCTTTTTGAAATTAAGGCTGGTCTAATATTATGAGTTATAAATGACAATACAAACAAAGATCTTATTTTTCTCCATTTGATTCATTTCCCTAGAATATATTTCCAGGAGTAAAATTTCTGATCAAAAAAGTGTACATTGAAACTGCATGGTTTTTAAATAGTGTTTATCATTCCAAACATCGCATACTCACAGTTTACTTTAAAAAGCCCTCATATTCCATATTTCAAATCTTATACCAAGAGAACTACCATTCTTTTATAAAAACAAGTATAGCTCCACCCATTTACAAAGCATAATAAAGTGATAAACAAGACAAGGATGTTTGCTTTTAAAGAAAATGTTTTATAAAACAAATTTCATTTTGCTCCAAAAATGGTGTGCCGATTTCTAGATGGAATTCTAAGACAGTGCTGCGGGTTAGGCATTAGCCTTCTAGCTGCCAGATTGGTGGTTCAGACTCCCTCACGTCTCTGAAGGAGAAAGCCAAGATGGTCTACTTCTGGAAAGAGTTACCATCTCAGTTGACCCCCTAGAGGGTTGCTTTCAGATGTAAATGATCTGATGGCAGTGGGTTTGGAGTTTTTTAAAGAAATATTTTAAAAATTCAATTCACACGATGACATCCTAGTGTTTGCTAAACTGGTTGGTTGTATTTTATTGCTCCCTTATGTTAAAATATGGCTATTCTTACTGGCACTGTGTGCAGACGTGTGACAGAGTAGAACTGCCCCAAAGGGGTCCGAAGCTGTCCTCGTTAAGGGCACAAGATGCCAGGTCTTTCTCCCTGGAAGCTGCTGGCCTCTGACCACCAAATTGGCAGGTAGAAGCTGAGCATTCCACTGGTGCATCTTGCTGAGGGCTCCTAAAATATGGTTATAACTGCAAGAATAATGTCTTCATTAATATACACAATCAAAGTTTTAAATATGCACCTCACCTTTTAGTTATCATTACAATTCTACCAATTTAGTTCCTTCAACTTAACCCCTAGCATAAATCCTTGAAGTTTATTGCACCTTGAATGATGACAGAAACTGGAGTATTCCTATAAGCACATGGCTTCCTTAATTCCACACACCTGTGTCTCAAGCACCATGTTATTGGATGTACCAGCTAGTCTTGTCCTTCCTCTTAGCCTTCTTCCCTAATAAATCTATCTATCCCTCCTTCTTTCCTTCCTTCCTTCCTTCCTTCCTTCCTTCCTTCCTTCTCCTTTAAAATAAACCTGTCCCCCCCACCCCCTGCCAATTACCTATTCCTTCTACTGTTTACTCACATAGGCCAGAATTTATCACTGCTTTCATTAGTAGGGAAGTTGTATGTGAACTTTCCTAAACTTCCCTTGAACAGGAATAATATCCATATTAAAGTGATCAACTAGGAACCAGGTTCAAGGAAAGAGGACAAGTCACAGTCGATGAGCTATTTTCTTAGAACAATGTTTGGCCACCAGTGAAATCAGTAACATTACTAGTTATTTGTGAGGACATGTGTGTCATTCCTGTTTGGGCATTGACCTTGGAGCTGCCTCAATGGCCTTATTCCTAAAATAAAGTAAGTTGGACAAGATGATGAGTTTTGCCCCTTCAAGGAATCCACATTTTCACAAATACATTTCTGTTATGTAAAGGGTCCTGTCCAGGGCCAGCCTTATACACTCAGCTGCCAGAGAGCTGTGATGCCTGACATTTACTGGTTAGTTCTCCCGAGTCTCAGCTGTGTAAAAACAATGATGAGCGTAATTGTATTTCCTTTTGTGGCTCAGCAACAGAAACCCACAGATAATGAGTGATTTTCTAATAGCACGAATAGGAAAACAGAAGAACCAGAATGACTATTTTGACCCGCAATCTTTCGTGGAGACAAGAGTACGACAATGCGGGCAGTAGATGGCTCAGCTGGTGAAGATCATCACCCGCATCAAGCTCCTCACACACGTTTAGACTCTGTCCCCTGGTGGGGAGTGGGCACCAGTGGGCTTCTAGCATGCAAACCCACTAGTCACTCCACAGGCTTTCGTCATGCATTAGCGTCGACTTCATGGTAGGAAGCTTGGTTTTGATTTAGTATCATCAAGAAAATGATCTCAGGAGATGATCTTTGTCTTTCCCCTCTGGTATTATAACTAGGGCTTTGAATCAGCTGGGGATCTTGTTAAAAGGTAGGTCTGGTTCAGTAAGTCTGGGGTGGAAATGCAAATTCCCAGGTTGGGTTCAACCCTGGGTTAAAAGCCCTGGTTCCTAACTCCAGGTGCCCTTTCCACAAGGAGGAGCAGCCATGTACCTGCACCCCACTGCCACCTAATGGCCAGCAATGAAGGCAACATGGTCAAGTGACCAGGCCTTGGACCAGTTCTCACCAAGTCCTTCTAGCCCAGTGGTTCTCAACCTTCCTCATGCCGTGGCCCTTTCACACAGTTCCTCATGTGGTGGTGACCCCCCGCAACCATAACATTATTTTCGTTACTACTTCATAACTGTCATTTTGCTACTGTTATGAGTTGGGCGACCCCTGTGAAAGGGTCATTTGATCCCCAAAGGGTCTCGACGCACAGGTTGGGAACGGCTGCTCTAGCCTGACTTCATTTTAAAAGGATATTTTAAAGACTGCAGGATCAATGATGTGGGACAGATACCCATCCGTTTTCCTGACGACTTTTCCCCTTCCTGTGATTTAAACGCTTAGGAAGGAATCACTCTTTACTGGCGGGTATTTTAGTGGGTGCTCATTTCTTTTTGTAACTGAGTCGGAAGTGATGGCAGTGAGTTCTGGGTTCCACCCCCAAACACCCCCTGCCATGGCGAGTAGACTCGGACTTACAGTGACACCATATAAGCTGGACAGCTTTCCGGGAGCTGAGAGCCTCACGTTCCTCCTGTGGAGCAGCTGGTGGGTTTGAACTGCAGAACTTGCGGTTAGCAGTCCAATACCTACCTAGAGCACCATTATGGTGCCACCAGAGCTCCTTAATTACATGACTGGATATTTTGAGGAGTCATAACTTCTTAGCAGTTCTGTGATAAAACTAGGACAGTATACATTTGTGCCATTCAGATGGTTTGCAGGAACTGTGAACTGGAGTTTTTTTCATTTTTTTTTTCAAGTTAATACAGTCAGTGTGCTAGAAATTTTAAGGGAGAATTCTATCATGCTTTAATTTTTTTGTCCTTTTGATGAGCTTCCAGAGTGCAGTAAAAACTAGGAAATTGATGGCTATTTAGCTCTTTCTTGGG